TCATCTGCCCCCACTGAGACCAGTCCAGCTCCATCCTCTTTGCAACCTCCTGCAGGGAGGTGAAGGCTGCTATTTAATCCCCCCTTGGTCTTCTCTTCTGCAGACTAGATCAGCCCAGTTCCCTCAGCCTTTCCTCACCAGTCCTGTCCCCCAGCCCCACAACCAGTTTCACTGCCCTCCACTGCACTCTCTCCAATGTGTCCACATCCTTTCTGTAGTACGAGGCCCAAAACTGGACACAGGACTCCAGAATCAGCCTCATCTAGTGCAAGGCTCCTATTTGTTTCCAGGTCCTAGATGGCACAGAAACAGCCAGAACTCCTCTCCATCCCTTCCTAGGGTTGTCCTGTGTGTTGGTTTTACCCACCTTAGGCTCGCTACTGAGCTGCAAACGGGCCCAGTGAGAGAAGGCATGGGGTAAACCAGCAGGACAAAAGCCATTCTAGTGCCAAGACTCTGCAGAACAGATGTGAGGCTGTTTGATTCCTGCTCCAAGAGCCCCACGTACACCAGAGCGCTCTCAAGTGAGTGTCTCACATGCGTGTGGTCCCTGCTGGGATCAGAATCGGCTGTTCCAGGAAGCCATGCTAACACCTAATCACTTGCCTTGCTTGTTAAAGATATCACAGCTTATTCAGATGGAGGAAATCTGAAGCATCCTGACTCCTGGAGGATAAAGCACATGGGAACAGAGGATCCAGCTAAAACCCAGGTTCCTCCTGCTGGTCCTTTTCGCAAGACCTCCCCCAGAAACTGTTTCCCTTGGCCTGGAGCTAACTGCCCATGCTGGAAGTGTGGATGCTCATGGAAAGGCCAAGGGCAGAGCATCCATCTATCAGCCTTTTTCATTCAAACACAACTCTTCTAAGCTTAGCCCATGAAGAAGGAGGCTCTGCACAAAGTCTCTGGGTGAGTTTTTAGATGTGTCTCATGCAAAATACTTACAGGAAACATCATGTCACTTTGTGGGACACAAAAAGACATGAAGAATAGATTGATTGGGGAAACAAAAACCCTGCCCGTATAAAAGCACCCAGGGACAGCTTAGACTTGGTTCCTGAAAGCCATGC